ATTGCGATACATTCCCACATCGGTATGTAGAAAATATTCTCTGAGATTGCATATCTCCCGATTGTGTAGGGTCTTGATATTTAATAATCCGCGACCCCCTAGCTTTCGCGGGATATACAATCTCATAACCGATGAACGTGGGTGGTGCATTCGAAATGCAGTCAGCAATGTACGGACTCTCCTATCAAGGGCATCTAGTTCGGTCTGAGTCCATTTAAGTATACCAAAGGAGTACATCAGAATCGGCATGACCCAACCATTGCAGGCACGTACCTTGTTGCCCCCCGATAAAAGACTTTTAAGTACTTTTTTCAAGCGGGCAAAAAAGCGTTCCTGCAACGTTTGTTTCATGTCAGATTCTGGTATGCCTAACGACTGTGATATACCCAAATACTTGTAAGTTTCAGTGGCAGACAGAGATCTGAGTTTTGTTGAATCGGAAAGCTCTATTCCTTCAGATTCTACTATCTCACCCTTCTTTACATACATGACTGCACACTTGTCTACACCAAATTCCATTTTGATAGAATTACTAAAGTTTTCCGTCACCTTTAGTAACGCTGACAATTGTAATTTGGTGGGGGCTAGTAGTTTCAAATCATCCATATAAAGAAGGTGAGATATAACTTGATCGTCTTTCTGCAACCTATAGCCTAGCCCTGAACCCTCTAATAAAGTGCTAAGAGGGTTCAAAGCCAGGCAAAACCACAAGGGACTCAGACTATCACCTTGAAATATACCCCGCTCGATCTTTATTGGTGCATCAATTACCGTCGTCTGCTGACATCCTGGATAACGAAGCGCTGTTCTCCATTGCCCCATACATGACTTCAAGAAAGTGCACAGAGTTGTATCAATTTTATACAACTCCAGCACCCTCAAAAGCCATGTATGTGGAACCGAGTCATAAGCCTTCTTATAGTCTATCCAACATGTCGCCAAACTCTTACGATTACGACGCACCTGTTGGCTAATGGCCCTGTCTATAATAAGGAGGTCTTTAGTGCCACGGCTCCCACTTCTACATCCATTCTGAGAAACTGACATAATCGAATTATTATTAATGTGTAAAGTAATTTTGATTCTCAGAATAGATGTAAGAAGTTTGTACATGGTTGGTAAACATGTAATAGGTCTAAAATTTTTGGGATCCATGACACTACCAGACTTATAGAGTAAGTGGGTTATACCAGTGGTTAAAAATTGGGGTAATGAACCCGAATTTAAAGCTGCCTGGAATTGAGATGCCAAACACGCATGTGAGCTTCGGAACCACTTAAGCCAAAAGTTGTGCAGTCCGTCTAAACCAGGTGATTTCCAATTCGGTAATGAACGAACTGCACAGCTTACATCATCTTTATCAATTATAACTGGTTCCATAGGTGTTATAGACTCACATGAGCGTCTGACATCCCGCAACCAATCACCTTCTATATGAGTGACAGGCACCGACCAGATGTTCCGCCAAAAAGTATGTGTGACATTTTCATCTGGCAAATGCCCATGACTCACACATGGATCCGGTTCCTCCCATTTCCGGTACACCCACTTCTCATTTCTTTGGAACATCCGATTCTGATTATACCGATCTATTCGTTTTTTGTACCGTCTTATCCTATTTGCCCATGCATAAATTTTCTGCTTTAGAAAGTCTATGCGCTCTGTGACACATGACATGTACTGCTGAGGACCAATGGTAGTCCCCAAGAATGCCTGTTTCACAAAGCGCATCACTCTCGGCCGCGTATTCCCTGATCGAAAACTAATTAGCTTACCAATAAGCACCCTGGTCTCAGCAATACGACGTTCAATTCTACACTGCCAAGCTGGTACAGTTGATTTAGGTCGAGTAGTAGTGACATTTTCAACTATATTAACACCAGCTACTCGACAAACTGCAACAGCCGCACAATACAGAATAGAATGTGTATCACCAAGATCTTCGCTATTGTCTAAATAATCAGGCAATAACGAATCCAGGGCACCCACAAGCACTAAATTTCGATTATGTATGGGCAAACGGGACAATCGGGGTCTATTATTCCAATTCACATCCCGGTACTCTAGAATCGCATCCTCCAAAGCGCTCCTTATCCTGTCATTGTATTGGGTACTTACAGATATAACTTCACCCTCCACTAATTCATCAACATCATTGGTATGTGATACTAACTGAGGTGTGCTATTAGCTACCAAATTCACAGTGTGTGACGAAGAAGGGATAATCAAGCTATTCCGTATGTCAGAGCGTATCCTCTCAAGTACTGCATCATCCAGCAGATGACAGCGCTGTATAGCTCGTACTTGATCCGACAATCGTTGTGCTGATACGTTGACAGCAGGTTCAAGCTCCTGAAACAAAGAGACTAGTCGAACACGGTACGCAGTAAGGTTTGTTCCCATCTCTGTAGCCCGATAATATGCCCGCATGACATTCTCATTGATAGAATTTGTCCACTTCATGCGGCGCACATTACCACCGGTAGCGGGGACCCTATTCGAGGTCAGTGGTCCTCGGGATCCTAAGCAGATCGGTGGCCGGCCTCTCCCCTGCCGACGTACAGGTGTTGGCGACGTCGGCGGAGAGAAAAACTCGTCACTTCAAGTCGAGCTCGACGCCTCAGCCACGGCCGGAGCTTCTGTTGTGGTTTCCGTGGACGGCAAGACGGAGCGGTGATGTTAATTGTGCTTTCGACCTAGCTCTTGTTATCATTCTACAGTCTTTCTTGGGTGGAAAAACACTTTCATGTATTTTGACATGATGTTAGACGTCATGTCTTACTATACTTTATTTATTTTTGGTTTATCTATTTTAAGCATTTTTTATGGTATTTTTATATAAAGCATCCATTTTATTGTTCTTTAATTTGTTTAGCTTATTTTACGATATTGTAAATTGTTGTAAAATCTGTTTGTTTCGAAAATATGTAAAAGAAATGTCGACTGTTTTCAGTTGTTGTTCTTATTATTATTATTAACGTGCTCTCCAAGTGTGGAAGGGTGTGGGAGGGTGACCTTTCTTAACACGTTGAAGTGTTAAGAATGGTCAACCATCCACAGACTGACCTGGCTAGAATTGCTTGACTTTGCAATGAGCCAACCTACTCGGTTAAGACTCAGTTACGAGACCCATTTGCATCATAATCCGTCTAACATTAGCTACTTAATAAAAAATATTCAAGGTTACGAAAAATAAAACGAGCTGTCAAACAAATATTAAAGAAAGTATATTAAAAGATTTAATTGCAAACACTGTAAGTAAAATAATTAGGATTAAAACTGTTTTATTGATTCTTAAGTTATTTAAATATTAAACAGCAATTAACAGGCTTATTTCCAACTATTGGTCTCACATATGATTTCTCAATCCTTAATAAGTTATGCCGGTCACCGCCATCGATTGCAAGTTACTATTTTCGTAGCGTTAGGCTGCGGCCACACTAAGTATACTTTAAACTCACTCGTGTTAAATGACATGGATATTGAATATTACAGGCAAATATCAAATTTAAGCCCCGTTATGTGTAGCGAAGAAAGAAAAAATATTAATAATTAGAAAAGAAACTATTATTGACAAAAAAAATTAAAAACAAGTTTTCTGGTATGAGAAGTCACGAAATACCATAAGAATTGTTTATTAAATGTTTATTATTTTATTAGTGTTTTACTTTACTTATGGGGTGGGTCTACTTTGTGGTTTAAATATATGACCACACTCTTCTGTGAGCATTTTAGCCTACAGTTCAATAAAAACGCAAACGGTTTTTAGTTTCATGTTAAGTATTTAATAGTATGTTTCTTTCTGAACATTTTAAAAGTGGCTTTTAACTAAGTATCTGTAAAATTTTATATTTAGTAGGCTCGTTTACGATATGGCTATGTGATAATTATGTATTCATATAATTCGACGCTTCATACGATGCATCTTTATTATGGAATTCTGAGACTTCACACAATGAAATTAAAATTAGTTTTATAAGAAATGTTGTATGAGATTTTCTAGCTAGGTTTAATTCAAAAATAATCTAATTTGTCGTCACAAATCTGTCACAGACTTTTCGCTTATCGGGACCACGACCTAACTAGTACCGTGATACACGCAAACTATGTACTTAGAAAGGAGAGCTGCTTACTCATTAAATGGAAATAAGTCCACTAGTTATTTAGTTGCACAGCTATTGTGAAGTGGAAAGCTCGCAATTCAGAGCTTTCTAAACACCTGTGTTTTGTTACGCAATATGGCTAAAATATAACAAATCGACGTAGTTATTTATACGATTTTTTTCGTCTTATAGGTTTTTTTTTAAACAGTGGTTATTGAGAGTTTCTAGAGTTACAAGTGTCGAAAAAAGTATGTGGATTCATGAATTGTGTCGAGATTAAATACGCTCAATACCTTGTCAACTGAAAACAATTGCACTTAATATGGGATTTTAAATGTGTGTAAACTTTATAATGACACAAATATATCAAATATAATGCAAACCTGCATATCATTAATAATTTAGGTAAGATTGTTAAAAGAAGATTGCAAGTTGACTCATAAATATTTTATAGGTCAAGTTATTAATGCCGTTCATCATGACCAAAAATAAAATTTTATTGAATAGGAAATTTACACGCGACTTCAAACCAACCTAAATATATAATACCTAAACATTTATGTTCTAATGTAATTTTAGAATTTAATCGTTAAGAAGTTGATATTTTGAATATGCTCGCCAATTTCAAAAACGTATATTATTCGATGAAACGAAATGTGATCCAATTTGCACGACTTTTTCTTTGAATTCCCATCTCGCGGTATATGAAAATACACCTTGTCGCGTGAAATTTTGATCATATTTTAGAAAATAGGCTAAGCTTCTAGCTGATAATAAATAGTATCATTTTCATTTTCAATAACCAATAAAGAATACCTTGTTTTTAAAGAAAATTAAGTATTGGTTATCTAGTACAATTGTATGCTTTTTGTTTTTTTTTTGTTAATAAATTAAAATATGTCTGCGTATTCTTTATTGTTTTCATATACCATACCTTTTGATTATTATGTTAATATAGCCGGTAAGAAAGAACCAATAAAAATCATATGTATTGTGTGTGGCCACTGTGATAGTTGCAATATTAATATATATATATTATTAATATATATATTAATTTTTAAATAAATAAATAAAAAAAAAAAAAAAAAAAAATTAATAAATAAAAAAACAAAACTAAATATTTTCGTGAATTAGTAACAGAAACAGAGAGAGAACTATAACGTGAACCCTAGAAATAAACCTCGGTAGGTATACATTTTTTTTTGTATATTTATTTGGAGACATAATTACTACATTTAGTTTGTTATGAATGAACCTCGTTAAAGTTTCGAAGAGCTTTAATATAGAGTCGTATTTATAAGAAAGTATAATCTTTTACTAAATAACTTTGAAGCATAAAAATGAATGGCCTTCATGATATCAACTTCTAAAATTTCAAGATCACAATTATACGTCTTTTCAATAGAATACTTTAAATTTAAAACTTGCTACAAACCTTTAGCGATTGTGTTTTTAATGATTTTATTGCGTAATAAAATAGTATATTAGTGATTGCGCAAAATCCGAGGCAAAAACAGACAAAATCAGACATTAGCCAAAATTGTTTTGCTCTGGAAGGAAGCTAACTACTTGTTGACGTTCAAGAAAAACGAAGCTTTCAATCATTTGTCGAAAGAACCTAGTTCAAGGGTCTTCTCTTCGAGTTTATGGTTGTACTTAAAATGTTAGTTTCATTTAAAATACAACATAGTAAAAGTTTTGAAAGCAAATGGGCACTATGATTCTTTTCTGTTCTTGTACTAGTCGTAGTGTTTTTGTATTTATACAAAAAAAAAATAGTTCACTAAAAATATTGTGTTTTCTTATGTCTTTGTTTTTAAAGATAATTAACTATAAACTGATTTTCTTCATGGTGTATAAGATAATCTCTTTTTAAAAACTAAAAGAAATCATCAGACAACTGCATTAGCAACAATTAAATAATAATACTTTAATTATGATAACATTTTGTGTTTTCGAAACTTTGTAAAAACATCAAAAGCAGTAAGAAAGTAATAAATGTTATTGGTATCTGTGGGCCCAAATATTTGTAGTCCAACATCCACAAAAATATTGTTGCCAACATTAGCACCTGTTGGCCAAACGTGTGGACAGAGTTTTTAGAAAAACTTACAAAAGTGATTCAAACGTTCTATATTTATGTATGTCGTTGACCTTCCCCGGTCATTGCTGGCGATAAAGCGTTGTTATTATTTGTGATTTAATGATTACTTTTGTTTGTTACAGTAAAAAAGGCGCGATATGTTGGTATACAAGGTGAGAATTTTTAATTATTATTTTACTAAGTTACATAATATTAAAGTTAAGAGCGATATAGAGATCTCATATCAATGTGATATTTCCGTGACATGGTTTTTTTTGGCATTTAAGATAAGGAATCTTATAATCTAATTTGTTTTGTTTGATTGCTACTTTACTTAAAAAAGTCTTCGGAGACTTAACTTACAAAGTTAAATTAGCCGGAAATGTTTGTATCCCATTTTACAAAAATAACTAAATATCTTGTCTTAAATGTAATTAAAATACGTTCACTGCTATAACAAAGTATACGTTTTAATCTCATTGTGGTAATTAAACATGTTTATTTAGTAATGACGTTATGTGAGATAATAGCTTAACGTAATACAATTTACTATATTTCACAAATATTTAACAGCTATTAACCAGCTGGAAACATTTATTTCCTAACTCTACTAGTAAATAAAGTGGTATTACTAGAAGTTTTACCGTTTCTAAGCCCCTTAAAGAGAATTCAACAAGCACTGAGGTCACTTAAATGGAATACAATCCCCTACCTAGCCACACTAATTTAACTTTAGCCCTCATTAGACCTTTGATCGACATTCTCTACAACAAAGCTATGTAGCTGGTTTTTCTTTCATGCCCCTGTCTACCTACTAAGTGTTAAGCGATTTAAAACTTTCAATCAGCAAACATAAGGTTTATTTTTGTCAGCAGCAACACAGTTCAACACTTACGTGACACTCAAACTACAGAATGTCAAGTCGACGACGGTGACAGTTAAGGGTCCGACTCCATGCTGGGAGCAAGACTTCCTATTGTGAGTATATTTAACTAGTTTTTACCAACTTATGCGACAACAGTCACTATTGTGGCTTTTCAAGGTTGAAAATATGTTCTAAAACATTAAGAGCTAGAGGTATTATCGTAAGTAATAATATGGTTTAATTAGTGGAAGTCTCGGATTGTTCATAAATAACCTAATAAGTAAATAAGTTCAGAAATTATCGGATTGGCTTAAATTTCGAAGCTAATGTTTATTAGTAATGTAATATATATTTTGTATTTGTGGAGTTTGAGTTGATATATATATATATATATATATATATATATATATGTATAATTTCTAATTGTGCTTGAGTTCAGAACTGAATATATATATTCCAGTATAAAATGTGCTCAGAAATATCTTAATATTCATTGTTTATTTTCAATAGTGAAAATCTAAAGTTAATTCTAATTATTGTTATTTATTGAATTGAATTAATAAAAGCTCTACGAGTACCCTTGCAATCTAATCCTTTTCATTGGCTTTTTAGAACTTTAGAAGAAACTGATTTATTACAAACACTTATTCAGTTGAATTAACTCATATTAACCCTAGAAGATATTACAAATTGAATTCAAAGAGCTTTAGAAAAATTAATGATATCGGTAGGTACATTAACATACTTAACACTTAATCCTGACCCATTACATGTGGACGATATATACGCATGCGATCAAATATTTATTCGCATCGGCTCCTACTGATACCTTCAATTCCTTATTTAAGTTCACTAAAAATCACCAGAATATCTAATGAAATAGTGAACCGGTCGTCGAAATATATAATTGTACCACCACGTCGGTAGTTTAAATGTACAAAAGACGAGTAGTTGTCAATGGTATCAAAGAAATGCAAAACCCATTAACCGTTAAACTACCATTAGTAAAATTAAAATAATCATTTCAAAAAACTATTTCATTGTTACAATAAAATCAAACAATGACTTAACAAATGAGGAAACTCAGTGACATTCGCATTATTCGTGTAGGCACAATTTAGTTTAAAACTCATTTGTTGAAGCGAAAGCCGTACGCATTCTGTAACAAATAGAACCCAGCAGGGTTACCCCGTCTCTGCAGGTATTGTTAATTTACTTAACCACCAACAAATGTCAAGGGACACAGTCTGTAGGAAGACAATAAGTCGTCTGCAAGCTGCTGTCACACCGACATAAGTCCTGAATATCTACGTATCATTGCTAATCGTAGGGCTGCCAAACGCAAAAGGTCTTAGATTTTGTTGATTAGACTATGCTTAGCAAAATGTAGGTTATGCGTAAACATAAAAATGCATACCCATTTACGTATATGTTATGTACAAAGGTTTGGTGTTGTAGATGAATAAAATATTTGATTGAACTGCGTGCTACAATTGTAGTTAATGTAGTACGCGAATACTAGTTTACGATTTATGATATGACTGTAGTATTAACGCTTGATTTATAAATGTGGTACACTCATTACGTTCTGGACAGCTGTTGAGATTGGTCACATTAAGCTACAATTGCTAGAGAATGACATTTATATGCCATCCTAGTCGTTATATCGTAATTACCAAAAGACTAAAGGATAAGAAGTTAATGTAAATAGAAGTAGCTGTCCCAACATATCAAGTAAAAAAGTTTTTTTTTTCTAGTCGAATCATTTGGTTTAATATATTAAAACATTCATGAAAATATGTTTTTTCGTGTTTATTAGTGCCAAAAAGTAACTATGAAAAAAAATATGAAAATTTTATGCAACAATACCAAAAAACAAAAAAGAAATTTGAAGCAAAAACATTTATGTATTATCAAGAACTTTCTACTCAACATTTTTTTTACTACAATACCTTAAAGAAATATTATTATTTTAACAGGCGACTGTTATTTAATACTCATACAACTTATGGTTGCGTCCAACGTTAACTATATATTTAATAATATTTCTGATAATAAGCCTTTTAAGTTTAATCGTCTTTATTAGTTGTAAGTAGGCAAATGTTTTAGATACAACCCTAGCCCTTCTTTACAATTTGTATTATATAAACGTTGTGTTACCTCGCATTTGTTCATTGCACAGCGCTTTGAGCTTTCATGTAACGTTGACAATATGTGATATACACTAATGAGATGTGACAGCTCACATAGAAAAGTAAAAGTCCAATTTGCAGACTGACAAGATATTGTAAAATGGACACGTAAATTTAGCAAAGCAAATTTATCGTGGAAACCGATCTGAACAAAAAAGTTACTTAAACTTTAGGCATCAAGTACGAGCCTAAAAAATAAGCCTCTAAAAAGCCTAACCTTAGAACCTTAGCTATTTGCTACTTATATTATAATTTCATCGATTCGAAATAAATCATATTGTCGCAGGTTCCAGTATAGCATTATAAATTATTAGCAAAATTAAAAGTTGCAGTGACAAGTCTTGTGTAGACATACTAAATAAAGATGAGTGATGAATTACACAATCAAAACCACTAAACGTTCTTTAAAGCAATAATTTTAGCGATTAAGTAGAAATAAGTCGGTGTTTGGCCAGTGTGGTGTAGTAGGCCAAAACCGCCTTTCTAAGGAGAGTGCTATGTCTAACAATGGACTATTAAAGGCTGTTGATGATGAATCGCTGTGATTGTTACCTACACCTTCAGACTATAATAACCCTTACGTACCAAATTTAATCGATATATTATGTATTAATCTAGGATAAATCCTAGATCAATGACAACTTACCAACATTTAGATTACAAATGCATGCATCAAGACTCTATGTCATTTTTTTGGTCTATTTTTGTCAGTCTGATGTCTTGTCCATAAATATATAACAAATAATCCAATTATATTAAAACAAAGTAAAATTTAATACGTTTATCAACAAATTAAAAGATCTTTTAATACAAAAATGATACGATTATATAAATGAATATCTAAATGACAATTTTAATTAATTAATGTATCATATAATTTGAAAATAAGTTTAATAATTTCATTAATAATATACTATAACAATAAATAATTATATAATATTATTAATGTAATATAATATAATATTTACTAAATTTATTTAATACGTGAGCAATAAAATAAGTACCTACTTAGTTCTATTTACTAAACTGAATTTCAATATGATGATAGATTATTTGCTTTTCTCTCCTAACTTTAGCGTGCCCGACAGGGTCCATCATTGTTTCTTTCTGCAGTTATAAGACTTGTGTATACATTATAGAGTGAAGAATTGAATTGATCCTACTCAGAACTACTCAGAACAGAGATCACGCTGGTCAAGTTCTTGGGGAAGCTATTATAGTAGGGGAGCCCATGATGCTAAATGTGGATTTACTCGAGCGTTATGGATACCTATTGCATTTGAAAGATTAGGTAATAGAATGAATTAAAGTTATGTAATGTATCCACTTTCAGCGGTGGGAAAAGTACCTACAGGTTTTCAAATATGTAAGGGGAAAAATAGAAAAAAATATTTTGGGTATATGTTATTTGGACGCCAAAAATGCTACCATTGAAAGGTCTGGCTATTTTAAAGTAACACAAGCTTGTAGCAAATTATCGAAACTGCAAATTAAAAAACTCGCCATTTTGAAATACCCGAGCGTGTTAAATTTTATACAGACGGTTCTGCTTGATGTTCCTCTCATACTAACCTAAAAATCTGACGATAATTTACAGGGTATTTTAAATCTGACGGTTAGAAATAATTTCGTTTCTTGATTTTTTATAAGATGTGACAAATATAGGCACGAAAATTATGTAGACATTTAAAGAAGATTTCTTGAATTGTTTCTTCACAATAAAAAAATGTCGAGGTCAGGGGTTTTTTTTGGAAGTTTGTGATGATTTGAGCGTGACATAAAGCAGTGGCCTCCACTCAAGTCGTGGCTCAAATCCTCTGATTTTTTTAAATACACACTAATGTGTATGTTTATTATTCATAATTGACTCAACTTATCAAAATCTTACACGCTCGAGTATTTCTGGCCATCGTTTATTTTTTAATAAATCTGATAGGCTGTCCTAGATGCTCCCCCCTATGTGTAGGGCTCATGTATAGTGGAAATACTCAACTAGGTGTCCTACTATCTTAATCTGAAACGCTCGAGTAAATCCCGGAATCCCATCTAGGCCACCCCTACTATTATGTCTCTGTCCATAAATTGTTATTTGAAGTTTATTCACACGGTAACAATTTAATATTTAAAAATGTATTTTCATTAAATCTTGAAACTCAATACTAGATTCTTTGTTTTATTATTTTTCATCCTAATTTTTTTAAATATTATTCATCATAGTGAAACTTAATATAAGATAAGATTTTTGAAAAAAAAATATACAGAGAATTGATAACCTCCTATTTTGTGTTTTTGAAGTCGGTTAAAAAACTACAAGATTCTTATTTATTAAATGTCAAACGATGATAAACCATCTGAACTATAAAAATCTTATCTGTACTATAGTATAATGATTGAAAAGCATATCCTTCACGAAATTTGTTTTGCTTTTTCCGAACCATTATAATAAGGAGCGTTCTATTAATATAAAAATTCGAAAAATAAGGTTGAATGAAAGGATGAATGAAGAGCGTTGGTTAAAAAGATGACATACGTCAAGAACAGGCTAGAGCTCCATTGTACTTTATTATCAAAAGGGGGTGCTATATTTAATAATTATGAGATAACCTTTAATGGCTTGTATTGTATTGAGTTTACAGTTGAGTTGAGTAGTTTACTTATGTTGACTTTTGCGTTATATAATACTTGTGTCCTCTAGCAGCCATTTAAGTGATAGTGTTATAATAACTTTTTATATGAGTGACTTATTATTTCATCTGTAAGTGATAAGCTGCAAGAAAATTCTTGCTTGCTTGGGTTTCTTGATGGGTTTTTGTTTAACGCGAGCTCATAAAGCTGCGGATAAAAGCTCGTAAATGATAAGGTAATATCGATTCATGTCACGTGTGTAAGTACAATATAGCAAAAACATGCGTTCTTTACCA